CGGATTAAACAACCCGTGTTCACTGTGACCGAAACTAACTTACCATAATCTTTCTAGGTTAATGTTGCCCCAATTTTTCCAAAGATCTAATGTTTTTGTTTTGTTTTACAATTTTTAGGCAAAACTCGCTATTTTTCTGCATATTCCTATATTACTAAGACTGATTGATCATCATCTACCCGAAGCCACACTAAATCTCCATAACGGTTTATCAACGGCAGCCATCAGCAATTCTGGTATAGTTATACTTTGTCCATAGTTTGACATTGTCCAACCAGGATTTTACGTTGGCGTCCTCTCCTACGTCCACCTTCAACGGTGACTTGCATGATGGTCTTGCACAGACTGTCGTGTCTTGTAATGTGTCCAAACAACGCCATTTTTTTCTCTGTTTTACAGTGGCGAGAAGAGGTTCTCGGTGGCCCACAAAACTTTCAACCTTTTCCGCACTCATTGACATATTAAGTGAAAATTTGACAGCTAACTTTTCCATTAATAAAAAGACACGGAAGCAATGTTAACATTGTCTTGTTTCTATTTTTCCTGTGACTTTTTCCGTTACTTTTTTCCTGTATTTTTTACCTGTGACTTTTTCCTGTGATTTTTGTGACGTTTTCCTTCAATTATTCCTTGTAACATTTTTTCTTTTAACTTTTACCGGTGACTTTTCTTGTTACTTTTTCCTGTGAGTTTTTTCTTGTGACATTTCCGAGACATTTTTCGCGTAACTTTTTTTTTTACCTGTGACTTTTTCCGTGACTTTTTCCCTGTAACTTTTATTTTTATCTGTGTCTTTCTTTTACCTGGATTCGCCTAGGCGTCTTGCAATACTTAAGAATAGAAAAAAATGGAATGTTTTTCCACTATTATTTTATCTTCACAATATGACGACATCAGTCAGAGTATATTGCATCATCACTCGAATGTTTGTACACATGATTTCAGTTGGTTTTTCTATCAACGGTATTATTTAACAGGATACAAGAAAACATTCATTATGAGCGCAGCAGATTTTCACATCATGAGTCGATACTTATCTCTAAAATGAGCATTTCTCAAGTGTAGGGTTAGGCAGGGTGTAGGCAGCTAAGCTAAAAATCCTATAGTAACAAAACAGTTTTATTGCATCATTTCGAATTACAAGTAATCTCTGAGTTACGGCATTCGTATAGAGAGTAAAGACACCCTAAGGTTAATATTTATTTAAAAAACCGTCATAATTGTCATCATCATTTGTGTATATTTCCTGATTTGCATCCTGTAGAACCGGGTCCAAGCTATGGTTCTTAGGTCCTACCATTTAACTGATAGCACTTTTCTTAGTATATGGAATGTTCCTAGTAGGGCGAGTTTCTGGGCAACTTGTACGTTGATGTTACCTGGGACACTGTTAGTAAAACTGTCCATTCCTTTTCTCAGGAGTCCTTCAGATCCGATTACTATTGGTATAGTCTCAGTCTTCATTCGCCACATCCTTTTAATCTCGGTCATCTGGTCCTTGTATTTGGACAATTTCTCTATAATTTTCATTATTATTATTATTATTATTATCATTATTATTATTATTATTATTAATTTATTTTGAAATGGTTGGAATTTTTTGCATTCTTTTTTGAGCATTTACAGTTAATTACAACGGTTTTTTAAATAAATATTAACCTGAGTTACGACATTCGTATAGAGAGTAAAGACACCCTAAGGTTAATATTTATTTTCAATAATATACTAAGAAAAGTGCTATCAATTAAATGATAGGACCTAAGGACCATAGCTTGAACCCGGTTCTACAGGATGCAAATCAGGAAATATACACAAATGATGATGACAATAATAATAATAATAATAATTTTATATGCACTATAGCCCAAGTGTTTCGAGCCACCCACCGAATTTCTAAGAATCGCCTAAAAATGCCTTTTCCCAAATTAATTTACTAGATCACTTCGTTCGGGTGGAGACTTTATCTTCCTGGCTGTAAATAAACAATAAACAATAAACAACAACAGCAACAACAACAACAACAACAATAATAATAATAATAATAATAATAATAATAATAATAATAATAATAATAATGAAATTAACCCTTTATTGCATAAAATCTCATTAAAATTTTAATTCTTTTTACCTAATCGCCAGATTAGGCAAAAAGAATTAAAAGAATTAAAAAATGGTAATTTTAGGCAATTGTTTGTTAATTTGTTTTTAACGGCTTATCAACCTTTTGTAGGTTATTTAAAGCCGAAAATTATTATTTTAGAATTTAAGAGTAATTATTGTTTTTTTTTTTTTTTTTTTTTGGAGGGTAAATATTTAACAGGTTTTGGAGATAATAATGATTTTCAGATACAAGTCCTATTATTTAATCCATAGCTAAGTGGGAACAAGTGAACTCATCCCTTTCCAAAGGGTATCTGATCGTAAGCAAATGCAACGAATCTGACTGCGATTTGACCTCGGCTCTCCGATTTCGCATTTCGAGCCTTTATTCGTTACAACTAACAAATACCCATCTAGGTACTGACCAGATAATGTCACGATGAACGGATATCCACACGAGGAGGACTCAAGTGGAATTCCTCTATACAATCCATCGCTCCGGTAAGTACCTGACTCCTCATACTATCCTCTACCTTTATAAGAGCGAGATAAGGCCGAAAATGAAGTACTTTTGTCATATTTGGACAGGAGCTGCTCAGATCTCACTTTCTAGTCTTGATAGAGTTCAAAGGCGTCTCTGACTCCTTGTGGGAGTCTGTCACTGCTCTACTGCTACTCCTACGGAAAGTGCTCGAACAAATTGAATCTCCTGGTTCCACCATGTCTGACCATCATGGCTAGGACCCACCATGCCACTTACATAGTAACAAACCACCGGCTTTCATCAGCGAGAAGTAAGCTCCACTCAAACAGTGAATTACTGCCCTATGGAACATCCCCCCCTAGAGGATGTTTCTCCGATCACTACAATCTTAACCTGTTCAAGAATCAACCGTTATCTTCCCCTCCTATCTATATAAGCTACCCCTTATCGTAACACTCTACCTCGAGTGGCTCCTGAGCCTTGTACAGGGTGAACCTTACTGTAAAATATACAATCTTAACCTGTTCAAGAATCAACAGTTATCTTCCCCTCCTATGCATATAAACTACCCCTTATCGTAACACTCTACCTCGAGTGGTTCCTGAGCCTTGTACAGGGTGAACCTTACTGTAAAATATACAATCTTAACCTGTTCAAGAATCAACAGTTATCTTCCCTTCGTATCCATATAAACTACCCCTTATCGTAACACTCTACCTCGAGTGGCCCCTGAGCCTTGTACAGGGTGAACCTTACTGTAAAATATACAATCTTAACCTGTTCAAGAATCAACAGTTATCTTCCCCTCCTATCCATATAAACTACCCCCTATCCATATAGTGGCTCCTGAGCCTTGTACCCAATCTTAACCTGTTATCGTTATCTTCCCTCCTATCCATATAACACTTATCTACCTCGAGTGAGTCTTGAACAGGCTAAACCTTACTGTAATATATATACATATATAAATGTATATGTGTATGTAGGATTTATAATAATATCGGAAAGTGCGACCCGGGCCGTTCCTGCCCAAATATGACAATAGTACTTTATTTTTGGTCTGATTTGGCTCTTATAAAGGCAAAGGATAGCATGAGGAGATAGGTAGTTACTGGGCAGTAGAGGAAGCGGATCATTTTTCCGGCATCTTTAACGATGGATCGTATATAGGATTTCCATTTGAGATCGGGTGTGAGTTTGAGATCCTTAACCTCTCAAGACAAGGGTTCTCCTCGAGGGGACATCCGCTCATCGTGACTGGTCATTCGGGGTCTGATCGGCGGTGATGCAATAAATCAATTTGCTTTCCGAGGTATTGAATGTAACCAGCTAGTTGTTTTCCCCTGTTTATTGTCGTACCATCGGCATAGTCGTTTATAAATGACCGGAGTATATTCTTCGGAAGATCATTTATTTAAATCAGAAAGAGGATTGATCCGAGAAGTGAGCCCTAGGGGTGGGGCGCCTATGTTGACCATCAGGGCCTCGGTGGACTGTCCGTTAGTAATTACCTTCAGGAATCTACCTGTTCGGAAGGTTTTTATAATAGAGAAAACCCTTCCCAGTGATTCCGTAGCTGGAGAGATTGTGTAGCAAACTATTGTGCTACAACTTGTCGAAGGCCTTTGAGATAGCTAACGCTAAGGTCCTTGCGGTATGCGTGCCGTCAAGGGCTTCATTAATTTTGTGTGTAATGATAGGACGTCAGCAGAGGATCGGGTTGTTCGAAACCCATATTGCTCGTCGCATAAGAGGTTGTCCCTAACCAGGTGCTCCACGACTTTCATGTTGATTTAGCCCTCAAAAAGCTTGCTGATAATACGGAGAAGACTAAGGGGTCTATACTGGGATGTTTCCCGCGTTTTTGAAGATCGGGCATACACTTCCCACCTTCCAAATGCTTGGGAAATATTTCTCTTTGAAACAGCGGTTAAATAACTTTGCTATGATCAGGGATAATTCTGGGTTGGTATTCTTAAGGACGACCTGGGATTTTGTTTGGTACTGTGGCTTTTTTGGGTCAAGGCTTTTGATAAGTCTCGAGACTTCTCTTGAAATGAGAGTATTATTGAGATTGTGCGCAGTGAGACTTGGGAAGTAGGGGAGTTTGAGTTTGAGTCAAAGATCGAGGCTGTGGGATCAGCCCCTTTGCCGACGTGGTGGCATGTAGGTGGCGCTGTACGGTCCACATACACTGTGAATGTCCTCGACAAAATTGTGGTAGTTGCCGTGGTGCCAGTCTGCTGTGGACGAGTACCGTATCGGTCGCGCGTGCAACAACTCGGCCTTTTACTCCTCCTCGCACACATTTTTAAACCTGTCACGAAAAGTATCCAAAACAAAAAAAAAAAAAACCCTGGACGGGGGATCACTCAGCTCGTCCGTCGATGAAGAACTCGGCCAGCCGCGAGAACTGATGCTAATTGCAGGACTCAGTGAACATCGACACCTCGAACGCACATTGCGGCCTCGAGGTCCCTTGTCTCGGGGCCCCGTCCGGTCGAGAGGCGGAAAATGGCATGTCTTCTCACTCGATAGTCGAGAGGCATCTCACCGTCCCCCGCGTCATTCATTACCTTTCTCACGCGGGGGAAACCGGGGCGTCATAATTTGGTTGGTGATCTACCAGAATTCGCGGGATACATTTTTTTTTTCAACCTTGGCCTGGACAGTTCGCGTGAAATCTCAATTTGTTTTTTTCCAGCGTTTTCTTACAGTGATTGCGACCGGTTCTGAAAGAAGTAAGTCAGACTACACCGCTCCTTGAGATAGATTTTGAAGTAGTGATTCCGGTGAGCGCATTCAGCGGTGAAACAGGACTTACTGTTTGGTTTTTGATGGAATTTATTTTGGTGTATAAAACACTCAATTCCAGCAAGGATCCATTCGCAGATTAAGGCAGCAATTTTGGTGGTAGCATATTTTCAGAAGGTTGATAGGGGAGCTTCAGTCATATAGGATCGAAAGCTGTCTCAATCTGCCTCCGCGTGGCGAGAAAATGGAACGGTAAATCAGGAGATGTCATTGGTTTAGAGTCAATCTGGACATTAACTGAGGAATGGCCTTTCTGGGCATTTGTTAGAGAAGGGTGTTAGAAAAAGATCGGGGAGGTTCACTTGCTCTCCCGTCGCATCCGGGACTCGGCTGGATTCTTGAAAGATCTGGGTTAGTTCATATGCGATGTAGAAGTCTCTACAATATCTGCTTTCCTCATCGGTTTTGTTAGAGTGGACTAACCACTATTTTTGTGGTGAACATTGAAGTCACTGCATATGTAAAAGTTGGCCGAGGGATATTTGGTGAGGATATTGTCAATCATCTCTGATATTCGATCGAAGATTACCAATCCTACATTCTGAGGATAATACAGGGAAAAGACATATATAGTACTATGGATAAGTGCCACGCGGAAACACATATACGGGAGATCAGGGTCCTCGTCTTTTGTGTCTTTGCCGTCCCTGATGTAGGCGCCGAGCGATTTAGGAGGTCGTATTTTCTTGTAAAGGGTGAGTAGCCCGGAATTGTGAGCTTCTGAAATACGATTGAGGCCTTAATACTGGTTTTAGACAGGTTTAGACATAGCATGAATGACCGACTTTCATTCATTTATTTTATAGTTTATTTGTTAATTTACTTTTATGTTTTATCATCTTTTTTACGAAGAGGACATATTTTGGAATTTGTTGCCGAGGCATTTCAAATGCTCTCGTTTATTTTTACAGCTATTTCAATTATTTAGCATTTAAACATCATTGAACTGTCAAACTAAATGGTTTAAACAATTGTTTTAACTAAACATCATTCAAACATCAGGAGTCTGATGATGATTGGTTGATTTCCATCGAGAAAAATGTCTAAAGATCAAAATAAAAAAAAATATTTTAACAGCAGTAACAACAACAATAGTTGATGAATTGATTGCTTGTTTAGCGGCATATCAACATCTCTATGGATTATTTCAAATCTAAATATGTTGCGCATAATTTTATATTTTCAGGGTAAAACGTATGTTTTTTTTAATATATAGGTTGTAGAACATTAAGTGTATTTGTTGTGGCGTTGTCCCTCTAAAGAGTCTATGTTAGACCCTTCCGCCTACTATAAAATTAATAGGAGAGAAGGCCTTGGGGGAACAGTGATATAGACTGTTCATCTGTCGAACTCTCTGCCTCAAGTAGAGAGGAACCCGGATGAAGATTTGCCGAAGGGCAAAGTTTCGTCCGGGGAGGTAGACAGTCCCTGAACCCGTTTAGGCGGGTTTAAAGGGAATATTTTTGGCCGAGCCTACGGGCTCGGAGTACCCACAATAAACCGGCCTTGTGCCACATACACCCTTGTTGTGGTGGGGGGCTGTTAAATATTAACAGTGATATAGACTGTTCCTCTGTCGAACTCTCTGCCTCGAGCAGAGAGGAACCTGGACGAGGCTTTGCCTAAGGGCAAAGTTTCGTTGTTAAATATTAACAGTTGAATAGATCTGTTCCAGCTGTGATGGTCAAACTCTCTGCCTCCGGGCAGAAAAGATCCCCATGTCGAAAGGCAGAGTCTCTTCTCGGGAAACAGCTAACCGACCCCTTTTTATACGGGGTCTATGGGGAATTTTTGGCTGAGCCTACGGTCTCGGATTGCCCCACATTAAACTCGGCCTTGTGCCACATCGTACCTCGTAGGGTGGCCGGTAAATATCAACAGTCGAATAGATTGAATGCTGGGTCATCCATCTAGTCATGTAATACTCTTCTGTTTTACTTACTGTTTGATATATGATATATCTGTAACACTTGTTTTGTTATTTCTAAACCATTTAATTGGGTCACAACAGTATTGCTGGTAATTACACTACAAAAAATGTATTGTTAGTAATTTTTTTAAAATTATTGCTGGTAATTTTGTTATAAAAATGTATTCTTGGTCATTTTGCTGTAAAAATCTATTGATTTTTGTTTGGCGGTTAACTATTTGCCCATAACTGGGACCCTAAAAGGTGCTACTACCCCCGGGATCAGAGTGGACCTGGGAGCAACAGCAATCAAGACGTAATTCCAAAAAGTGTCTCCTTATTGATATAGCATTCCCTGCAGACTGCAATATATCTTTGAAGGTCTTCAAAAGACTATCAAAATACAAGGACCTTAGAAATCGAAATCTCAAAAATGTGGTACATGAAGACATTAACAATTGCAGTAGTAGTTGGGTGCGCTCAGACTGATCGGAAAAAAACTTTCCAATAGACTCAATGAAGGAATCCCTGGTAGCCCATGCCTTAAAAAAATACAAAATATTGTACTCACATGTACAGCCAACACTTTACGAAGGGCTTTATCTATGTAAATTGTGAGCTTTTTATTTTTTTTCAAACTGCTCAGTTAAAAATGTCATGATGCCATTTCGGACCTTAGGTCTCTGGCCGGAACCCAGAAAGAAATGAATATACAACAGAAACCAAAGGAAATAATAATAATAATAATAATAATCAAGGCCAACCGGCCAGATATTGTTATTAAAGACCACAAACAAAAACGGTGCCTCCTTATTGATATGGCAGTCCCTGCTGACTGCAATGTATCTTTGAAGATATTCAAAAAGTTGTCAAAGTACAAGGACCTTGAAATAGAAACCTTGAAAATGTGGCATATGGGAACATCAACAATCCCTGTTGTAGTTGGAGCCCTAGGATTGGTTGGAAAAGATTGCAGTAGACTAATTGAAGGGATTCCTGGAAGTCCATGCCTCAAGGAGATACAAAAAATTGTTCTGATAAGTACAGCCCACACTTTACGAAGGGCTTTATCTATGTAATTTATTTATTTATTTTTTTTTGTCAGTGGAAAGTGTCATGACGCCATTTCTAACCTTAGGTCCCTGGGCGGGACCCGGAAAGAAATGTGTAAACGACAGAAATCAAAGATAATGATGATGATAATAATAATAATAATGTTATATTTGAAAACGAAACTCTAATTCTGACGTCCAAAGTCCCGAAATAACAAGGAAGGCCTTATGTTTAGTGCTTCCGTGGTTCTCCAGTTGCAGGCTAAATTTGCACATGGGACTGAACTATTGGTCGTATATCGAGAGCGTTGATGATACGGCAGCGTTGTCGGGAGTGATTTTTAGACTGAAGTCAACTACCAGCTCAGGGAGGTCCTCCAGACGAAACCAACGGCCATAGGTCCGTGACTAAAGTGAGAGTTCAACTCAGAGGACATCCGCTGTGGTCCAGCCTGGAGGGAGATGCGCTCCACTGGGTCTACTTAGTCCAAGACCGGCATTAAGGCAATACCTACCGAGACAGCTGGAGGGAGCTGGTCAGGCGCTCAGATGCGCAGTGATCATACGACCGGACCACATCATCAGACTGATGATTATGATGAGGAAAACGCAATAGCTATGACTAGCAGTATAACACGTCTTCGACCGGGTGTTTCATTACTGGGAATTTTTAGCGTTCAATTTGAGCAGTTTAGGTTTAAAGTCAGACCACCTGAAAATCAATATTAGTAACAACAACTGGGTGCAACTGAGGCACATCCCCAAATGGGGGGGGGTTAACAACTTGAATGGAAGGGCCTGAAAAGGGCCGTTTTTGCGTTCTCAATCTTGCAAGAAAGGAACCTCTTCCATGTACCGTCATAATAATAATATAGAATAATTTTTATTTATATTATCTTTTTATGCTTCGAATAATCTTTTGCGTTAGATTTCAACTCTCTAAATTGATTGTACACATTTACAGACATTAAATTTTGCCTTTGATCAATTTTTTTTTCGATTTTTCACCTTCAAGGTTGTAATTTCTCCGGCCATTCTAAACCGGCACTGAAAATTTATCTATCAAACAAAAAACAAACAAAAAATTCATCGAATTTGGAGGAAAACTGTGGAAACGAATAAACAACATCCGATCACACACACGCACCCACACACTCACATACATGTGCACACACATACATGCATACACATACATACACACACATACATACACATACACATTTTGAGAATTATACATATAAATACGCTGTGCTTCGGTCTTTTCTTTTCTTTTTTGTCCATTAATTTGCCACGGATTTTTACAGGACGAATATACAATCACATATAAATCGTAGGATTACCAATAATTCTGTTCGTGCAAAGCAAATAAAGGACCCTATATTAAATGAGGTTTATTCATGCATGTCCAATTCTTTTGCTCTGTGCCTTGCTAAATTTTGCAAGTAACTTTATACATAGACAAAAAATAATTTATTTCTGCTTCGATATATAATACACTCAGTATTTATATTGTTCAACTCTATTGTTAGAGGCTTACGGCCATATCGCGTTGAAACATCGATTCCCGTACAATCACCGTTAAGCAACGTCGAGGCTGGTCAGTACCTATATGGGTGACTGATTTAGAATAACTTGGATGTACGGTTTGCGTAATGGATAATGGTTCGTAATTGGAAATTATAGTCGAGTTTGTTATATTCACGTGCGCACAAAATCCTTGGGAAAGGCATGAATCTACCTTTTCTTACTCCTCAGCTACGGGTTAATTAGTAGAATTTGTATTGGTAAATAATTATTATCTCCAAATTCCTTACAATGTTAAAATATTTTCTGACTTGAAACAAACCGCAAAAGGGTGGTAAGCCATAAAAAATCAAATCAATGAATCTATTGTTGGACCTGAAGTCATGTTAGAAGATACTAGTAATACTCCTAAAAATTTCACTTTTCCCGATTTAAAATTTCTAGTTGATATAGTGGAACACACCTATTCTATAGTTAATAGACTCTCCCACCTATAATAAATAGAAGTAGTAAGAGTAAAGAGGGAGTCGCTCAGTGGGTCGGTCTGAGTTTAGTCTGAAGTCGGACGACCGGCTGATCGGTTGAACTCCTTGCCTTCGAGTGGGGAGGAACCCGAACGAGGCTACGCCGAAGGGCGGAGTCTCTTTCGGGGAGGTAAACCGACTCTGAACCCGTTTATACGGGTTCAAAGGGCATATTACAGGGGCCGAGCCCACGGGCTCGGAGATCCCACGGGCTCGGAGATCCCACGGGCTCGGAGATCCCACGTTAAACCGGCCCTGTGCCACATGATGCCCACGTAGGGGGTGGTGACTAAATACCGTTGCTCAGTGAGTCAGTCAGTCAGTCGATCCCGGACGACCGTTAGTCGGATACTAAAGTATCAGCGACCACAACTAGATTACTCTGCGTCATTACCTATTATATCAAGTTCCTAACGTTTTGTACGTCGAACCTATTTTAGGACCGACTTAGTACAAATACAAGCCTCCATTGTGAAATCCTTCCATAACACTAGTGAATCATCATTCCTACGTTGATATCCGTCAAGATGTTCTGTGTAATAGATAACGGATCGGAAGAAAAAAAAAATCGTGGGGCGTGTTCGAATTCCAGTCAGGTTCGTTGTATTCATTTACGCGAAAATAACCTTGGGAAAGGTGTAAATGCATTTTTTTTTTCCTCTCATCAGCTATGGGTTCGATAGTAGAGCAAACTGGGTCTATATCCTTTGTTGGCCACAAGTTTACTACAGAAGGAAACGACAACCTACTGCGGGAATATCTTCTGCATAGTTAGTCATGAATCCCAAGTGACTTGATCGCTCAAGCATGTATTACGTACCGCACGTGATTGACGATTTTTGGTTGTTTTTTTTTTAAAAGTAAGAAAGAATGCATAGTTGTTAGCAAGAGGATGAGTCCAAAGTGTGAATTGCAAATCAGAAATACCAAAATCAAACAAATGCGGAAATTTAAGGAACGTTGGTATTCTGATAAGAATGGAACTAACTTTCCAAAAACTAAGCAGAGTATTAAGAAATAGAAAAACTTCGCGAGAAACAAAAAAAAAGAGTACCAAACTGTTACGGGATATCTGTCTTCCTGAATGGTAGTGAGTGATGAACAATCTCCTCAAAGATGAAGAAGAGACTTGAATCAAAACAAATCTGGTTCTAAAGGATGCTGAGAATACCATAGACCGAACATGTGAGCAACGACGAAGTTTTGGAGAAAATGCAAACAAAAAGTAAACTTATACTTAACATCACGATGAGATGGTTTAGGTCCCTGGGTCAACTAATGAGGAAGGAGGGCTTGGAAAATCTGATACTCACCGGACAGATTGAAGCCAAGAGGGACAAAAAAAAAACAATGCATAACGTACTTAGCTTGAGTCAATGAATGGTGCAACAGGGTTTAGGGGAAATAACAGAAAGACGAAGTTTTTATAAAGAGCTGTAAGGGACAGGAAGTTGTGGAGAGCTATGATGGCTTATGTCCTGAGGGGGTACGGCACATAAAGAAGAAGAGGGGTTCAATACTTTTGCGTATAAATGTATATTTATATTAAATGGCCTTCACCGTTTTTCTTTTTTGTGTGCATTTTTGATAGTATTTGATTGGATAGTGAAATAAAGTCAAACGCTATTGCATCAGCTAATTAGACAATGACGAAATCAAGTACATAACACCATAAGTTAAGATCTTATAATTGCGTAGATATAACGGTTCTCTAATTAATTTTTGATTAGTTATATGAGGTTGATATATAAAGAGTTTGCTCTAAGATGTTTCAGATGTTTGTTTAGCCGGTTAGAAAAGATTAGATGATGATGATGATGATGATGATGATGATGATGTGTGTGTGTGTGTGTGTGTGTGTGTGTGTGTGTGTGTGTGTGTGTGTGTGTGTGTGTAATTGTTAGATTTTTATTTCAGGAGACACGACCCGACCAACCCAAATAATAAATGGTGGTGGTAATCATAGTGGTGTTAGTTATTATTATTATTATTATTATTATTATTTCCTTTAATTTCTGTTAACAGAAATTAAAGGAAATAATAATAATTTAACAACCAGAAATGGCTTCATGGCATTTTCAACTAATCGTTCTTGTACAAAAAAACACTAAGATCACACACATTTTACATAGATAAAGCTCTTCGTAATGTGTGAGTTGTACTTGTGGGTCGAATTTTAGTATTTCTTTAAGGTATGGACCATCAGTAATCCCTTCAATGAGTTTACTGGAATCTTTTCCAATCAATCGGAGGGCTTCAACTACAACTGGAGTGTGTTGATGCACTCATGGGCCACGTTTTTAAGATTTCTACTCCATGATCCTTGTATTGTGAAAGTTCTTTTAAGATCTTCAAAGATATATTACAGTCTTCGGGGACTGCCATGTCAATCAGAAGGCATATTTTGCTAATTTTTTTTGTTCTTTTGTTGTTGTTGTTGTTGTTCTTCTTCTTCTTCTTCTTCTTCTCATTATTATTATTATTATTATTATTATTTCATTTTATTTTTATTTGTTTGGTATTTAATTAAACCGAAGAAAGTATAAAACTTTCTAATTGTTAACTCCAGAGAAGGTCCGCGAACTTCTGACCTTTGATCTATCTATCTAGCTAGCTAGCTAGCTATCAGTCTCTGTCTTCATATCTATCTATCTATCTATCTATCTATCTATCTATCTATCTATCTGTTATGGTCCGGTTCCTTGTACCACGGTGATAGTCCAAGGTAGAACCAATAAAAAAGAACTCGAATACGGATATGGAATAACACAGATATATTACAAACAGGAATATATACAGAGAAGTAGAAAGTGTTAATGCGAACAATCAGGTTTAGTAGTAATTGTCTGAACGCAACTCTGTTTCGGACTGCCTCTGACTCGATTGACTGACTCGCACTGACTGACTGACAGACTCCTGACGAACTTCACTTCAGACTTCAGACTGAAGAGTATTTAGTCACCCCCACCACGAGAGCATCATGTGGCACAAGTCCGGTTTAACATGGGATCTCCGAGCCAGTGGGCTCGGCCAAAAATATGCCCTTTGAACCCGTATAAACGTGTTCAGGGTCGGTTTACCTCCCCGAAAGAGACTCCGCCCTTCGGGGTAGCCTCGTTCGGGTTCCTCCCCGTCCGAAGGCAGTGTGTTCAACCGATCAGCCTGTCAGCCGGTCGTCCGACTTCAGACTGAACAGTATTTAGTAACCCCCCCTCACACACACACACGAGGGCATCGTGTGGCACAAGGCCGGTTTAAAGTGGGATCTCCGAGCCAGTGGGCTCGGCCAAAAATATGCCCTTTTAACCCGTATAAACTAGTTCAGGGTCGGTTTACCTCCCCGAAAGAGAATCTGCCCTTCGGCGAAACCTCGTTCAGGTTCCTCCCAGCCCGAAGGCAGAGAGTTGAACCGATCAGCCAGTCAGCCGGTCGCCCGACTTCGGACTGAACTCTCTGCTTCCTCTTGAGGCGCAGTATTTATTACGTATGGAATAGTCCATTATGTTATTATGGGTAAGGTCCCATAACACTATCTATTAGGGACTTCCTATCTATCTTGCTATAATATCGATATATTCTGAGGGTTATTTTGCTATGGCGTCATCTGTATTATTATTATTATTATTATTATTATTACTATTTCCTTTAATTTCTGTTGTATACACATTTCTTTCCGGATACCAACGAGAAATGGCTTCATGACATTTTCCACTAATCATTCTTATACAAAAAACACTAAGATAACACACATTTTACATAGATAAAGCTCTTCGTAATGTGTGAGCTGTACTTGTGAATGCATTTTTTTTCTTTAAGGACTACAAGGAATCCCTACCAAGAGTCTATCGGAAGATTTTCCAATCAATCTGAGGGCTCCAACTACAACTGATACTTATGTCCTCATGTACCACATTTTTAATATTTACACTTCAAGATTCTTGTATTTTAATAGTTTCTTTGAAGATCTTCAAAACTATATTACAATCTACATGGACAGCCATGTCAATAGGAATGAACATTCTACTTTTTGGTCGTTGATCACGATGTCTGAGCGATTAGATTTGATTGTTCTGTGTCTATTGTAAAGTCCTATTAAATTGTTACATGTCCTGTCTCTGTAACAGGGTCTAGATGATATTCATACCAATTTCTTGCAGTTTCCTTCCCGGAAAAGGTACATATTTTCCAGTGCAATGTCGAGTTTTATATTCAGTTGTCGCTAACAACGTGAAACTTGATACAAGATGGCCTGTCGTCTTTGGATATTTATCACAGAATCTGCATTTCGGGTTAACACAATTTTTTACTATGTATGCTTGGTAATTTCCAGTTACCAAGCATTGGTTCTGTGCACTAAGAATAATACTTTCGATTTCAGCTTTTTAGCCTGCACTATGTAACCCCTGATGTGTTCGGGATTTGTCTACATCAGCTAGTTTGGTATGGGTAGAGTATTGACCATTGTTATTGTTGTGGATTCCGAGATGAAATCTGGTACCAATAAATAACAAACGCCAAGAATGAATATAGGAAAATAATGTATTGACGTAATAATACAAACTGGTAAGGCAGGTTGGTAGTTCCAGGAATACGAGTTAGTAGCAATATATATATATATATACAGTCTTTGGTATTGAAGTATCGCTGTGTGACTTCTTACTGAGGCTACGTGCTCACTCACTGTGACACTTGCTCGCTACGTTCTGTCTGTCTGTCTGTTACCTTACTCTCTCTGTTGCTTTCGTTTCTCGAGTCTTCACGTAGCAGTAGTATATGTATATACTGGGTGAGTCCATTTGTGTAAAAAGGGGAGGATCCCTCAACAGTTATAGTGGAACAGCCTGACACACCCCAACTGTGATTGGTCAGTCTAGAAGAGACGTGATTGGGAGAATAAAAGACGTGACGAACTATTGTAGTAAAAGCGTACGAAGGACGACTACAATCTCCGTGACGTATCTCCCGTTTTACTTCTTGTTATATTTACGCATTGTACTTTCCATACAATAAAACCTTGTTATTGTTTTACCTAATTCCTGTGTTAGTGTAATCTTTCCACTCGGGATTACCTGGTTGCTTATATCGTATTATTCACGATATAACAACCACGAAGAGGCTTATCTTGCCATCGTTTCTGCAATTCTTACATTGCATTTGCCTTTGTTGGGTTCTTTGCCGCTTGTGTAGGTGCCATTATGGTTTATTTGAACTTCTTTACTCACTTGAAATTCCCTTTTGAATTTGTTGGTTTCCTTTATTGCTGAATAAAGATTATTTCGTTTTTTGACACAGATTATCATCCAATCTTCTGTAGTTTCCAGGTACCTTTGAACAACTATTGCTGTGGTTTTGTAAGACAGTTCTAGTTGAAGTAATCCTCTGCCTCCTCCGGGTCTGGATATATACAGGCAACCAACATCAGTCATAGGATGATGCATGCGGTGGCAAGTGAGCGGGCGTTAAGAGAAGTCCATTGGCAAATAATATTCTATTTCGGCTTATTTCATGCTAGAATCGACTAGGTTCTGCCACAAAAGATATTGTTACCAATTGCGCCCAGCCCTTCCTAACTAAGCCAAAATGGAGACAGCAGCGACGAAAACAAAAAAAAAAAGATTAAAAAAATGCCTTTATCTCCGCAGTAGATCTCTCAACTTGAGCTAACCTCAAAAAGACACATAACTCGTTTAATCATTATCAAAATATCGGCTGGCTGCAGGATGAGTCATCGAGGAGAAGGATGCAGAGTCGTCTTTTATTATTTAGGATGAAGAGTAGAAAAAGTAAAAGGTAGAAGAGAAGTAGACGGAGGAGGAGAAGAAGGAAGAAGAGGAGTAGAAAATGAAGGAGGAGGAGAAGAAGGAAGAAGAAGTGTAGAAAATGAAGGAGAAGGAGTGGAAAGAGAAGGACAAGGAGGAAAAGAAGAAGAGAAGGGGGAATAGAAAAAGAAGAGGAGGAGGTGCGGAGGAGAAGGAATAAAAAGTGGGGAGGAGAAGAACAAGAACAAGAAGGAGGAGGAGGAGAATGAAGAGTAGAAGAAGAAAAAGGAGGAAGGGGAGAAGACGGAGGAGAAGAAGGGAGTAGAAGATGGAGGATGAGGAGAAAAAGAAGGAAGAAAAGAAGAGCGAGGAAGAAAAGAAGAAGAGAAATAGGATTAGAAGAAGAAGAAGAAGGAGGAGAAGAGGAAAAAGGAGAAGAAGAAGAAGAAGAAGAAGACTACATGGACTGATGGCTTCATTTAAAAAGTGTGCTTCAGACATTCATATATATTTGTCCTGTTGTTGCTGGTCCTGATCTGGATGAAAAAGAGAAATATAACTTTGCAAGAAAAAAAAGATGGTGGAAATAAGCTTACTAACGGTTGATTCTTAATTATGCTAAATATGGAGAAAAAGCTTTTGGTCGAGATCTTAGGAGACCTTTTGCTAGCTATGCCAGATAGCACCCGCACATATTCTCACTGTGAAATGTAGGGCTATCAATATAGACTGCATCTAATGTGTATGATTACTTAGCGAGTCGAGGATTGAGTCATGCTTAACAATTTGGAATTGTCCAAGGCATCTGACTGGATTGAGCATCTCTTTTTGAGGGCAGTCTCACCAACAGCCAGCTTTAAATCGGATCCTGTATTTGTATATTTCTGTGTGTGACTCCCAGCGAACTGGTTGAAGTGAATGGAACAAGGCCAAAGCACTTACGGTGTCTAGATTCATTTGTCAAATCTGTCCACAATCATCCATGTTGTTTGTCCTTCACCTGGAAGTTTTGCGGCATAAGTTGAAGGTAAAACCTGTCCTGTGGGGAAATATAGGTTATGTGGTGCCATCGCATCAGTTAGGCACGCAGCCAATGCCAACAGTGTCACCATACATATAATGAGCAATACCGAGGTTGAGGAGGTCAGAAATTTATGAGATAATAGAAGAAGAAGAAGAAGAAGAAGAAGAAGAAGAAGAAGAAGAAGAAGAAGAAGAAGAAGAAGAAGAAGAACGAGGAGGAGGAAGAGGATGAGGAAGGGAAGAAACATGCGTAGAAGAAGAAGAGGAGGGGGAAATGACAGCACAAAATGAAGTTGAGCGTAGCGACGAAATTTAAATAACAAATGAACAGAGAGTGCTGCAGAATAAAAAACAAAGCAAGAGAAGTCGTATGATCTCATTCCGACTGGGAACTTTGTCCCACGACAATTAATCAATGACAAACAAGCGGCTAAATATTCAAAAGCAGAGTTTCGTCCATAAACAAGGTTTGACATTACAGTGACCACAAGAAAACAAACACAAGAAAAGGCTTCCCTGTCTGGGTGAGGGGATGTGGTGATTTGGTTGCAGGAATTCATTTAGTTTTGCATTTTTTTTATTCTTTTACTGGAAATATTTATTCATGGAGTATTGTGGTTCATTATGAAGAAAGGCGATTGTAAATTATCCGATAATTTTGACACAAGTAAATTATATATATATATATATATATATTATACACACACAAGTAGACACAAAAACATACAGAACGACAGACACACATACAGAAACACAAACACACACACACATACGCAAACGTATATATATATACCTACATATATATGCATATTTTTATGTGGGTGTGCGAGGTCAAAATTTCATTCACTCTAATGATTACATTTATAACGGATAGGAATTATTAAACATTTCCTTAAAAAACTTGTATCTA